CTCGTGTAGCTTTGCGCGAAATTCAAAAAACAAACCAACAAAACGTTTTCTCTGTGTATTATAATTATTCTTGCCTCCCTCCTTATTAAGTTCCTATCTCAATTATTATTCATATATGTGATCGACCCCCAAAATTGTCTACTGTTGAAAAAGATATTAAGTTTAATAATTATTGCTCAAAGTTTGAACACATTATATGTTGTTAAACGTGTGCAAAAACAAGAATACCCGTAGAAAATTGTTAGTATCAAATATAATGTCTTCAGTTTTTGACAGAATCAAAAATTTTGTTTTAGAGAGAACAAAAACATTGGTTTGACGCATTTAAATAAATGTGTCTACGATCTAACGAAAACTCGAAACCGAAGAGGTAAACATAAATATGTTCGACATATTATCATTGCCTATTAAAGCAATTCCTTAGAAAAATGCGTTGAAAAGATATTTCACTAAAAACAAAAGTCAAATAATGTTCTACGATAACTCCAAAGGTTAAGATATAAATGTTTTATATTAAGGACAATTTTACTCGGTTCGTTACGTCTGTAGATTATGGCACGTGATTAAAATGCTGACGCTTGGATCTGGCTATCTTACAGCTAAAGAACATATATATATATAACAGAAATACATTAGCAAATGAAGCCTGATTTTAAAAATAGAAAATAAAAATGAGCATGAAAAAACAAAAGTAAGGTAATTTTCTGGCTTCCAGTATATACACAGTCTACAGACTTGTAAGTACATGATTTCATTAAAATATTCTGCTTGGTTTTTAATTTTAACTCAATCTAATAATAAAACATTGCCTTGAGACTATGCCAGCAATACCGGCTTCAAACAAGTCAATGAGAACGCGAAATTCAATAATACAAATACCACAGCTGTAGCAAGTCATTAACTATTGTTGTAACATTGTTCTTTAGTTGGGCGGGTTCTTTTAAATCATTCGGTGGAAACAAAGCCAAGTCCAATCCGTTTAACGATAACACATTATTTTATTCCTTCTTTAATGTTTCTACAATCTGCTTTCATTTGTGAACTGTTGTAAACTCGAAGTTTACAAATGCAGTTTAAATGGTAACATCTTGCTAATGATACTACACTAATGTAAAAATAAATTTACTTATACAATTTAATGACTAATCGATCGAGTAACTAAATATAAACGAAAACTAACACTGATCCAAATACTTTACTAAAAATTTAAATACTTCATTGGACTAAACTGACCGACTAAAAACAAATGATACAAAGCTTCACGGACTCTCGTACGTGTAATCCAATAGCGTCTCTCGATACTCTCCGAATTTACTGGATTCTTTAGGTAAAACTTTGAACTTTTTAGGTATCCTAGACTACTTTTATAACCTGTTCGATCATAACGTCATGCGCCCTCTAGCTAACATCTAAGTTAAACCATTGAAAATATAGCTTACAACACTATTTTAACTGTTGAAATTTGTTTAGTTTCAAGAATGTAATATTACTCCCAGAGCTAAAACAGCAAGGGTTTACGACATAAAGAAACTCTCGTCAGACATAAACTAAAAGTTGGAATTAACGGCATATTTCAGTTCAGTGAAGATCTTGTCTAAAACTTTGCTCCTGCTTTGTATAAATAAAACAGTGATTATTGTGAGTTTTTGTTTGTACAACTATTTCCATAATGCTTTGTTCATGCAGTTACAGATTGATTGCACTCTTCTTAAAAATAATTTTTTGTTCTATAAGTCACAGTTTCTTATGTTTATAATGTAGTACCTACTAAAGATCCCAAAGTCAAACATAAATAATCAAACCAAAGACAATATCAACAGAACAAGAACGCATCGGTTATACTGAACAGGAATGTTTCAGAGTATTTTTGTTTTTTTGTTTGAAGTTAAGCACAAAGCAACACAATGGGCTATCTGTGCTCTGCCCACCACGAGTATCAAAACCCGATTTCTTGCGTTGTAAGTCCGCAGACATACCGCTGTGCCACTGGGGGCATTTCAGAGTAGCTGGTTTAGTTTCACATACGGTATTGTTTGAAAAGCCTCGTCAGCACTGGATATGGCAGATGTTATGTAGTTGACATATCGTACGTTTATTATTATTTTTTGCTTTCACTCATAAGTTCTCAGAATTACTTATGTAGTTTTCTCCCCCTCCCGCTGTGGTTGCTTGATCTACTTTAGGAACAAAAAAGAATAGCTTACTGGTTTATCAATTATTCTGAATGATATTAAAGTTAATTCAAATAAAGTAATAAAAAAATACTGTATTATTAATTCATACTCTAAAAATCTGATTTGTAAATGACTTAACTCAAAATGATTATTATTATTACAATTTGAATATTGGTATTGGACGAAAGGCCTCGTTGACACTGGATATAGCAAATGTAGTGTGGTTGACATATTTTAATATTTTTCTTTGGTTTTCCTCAAAAGTTTTTAGAATGTCTTATAGTTGGAGTGGTGTGACAGAGAATATCAGTGGTTGCTTTAGTGAGGCGTATTTCACAAGCAAAGAAAAGAAACTGTATCCAGGACGGTGAAGAGACAGACTTCAATGAGCAGGGAAGTGATTAAAAGATGGTTTGTTGAGGCCTTCTCCGGTTACTCTTGATCTAATGTGTGATACAAATTGTGACACACAAAACTCTACCCTCTTCATAAAAATTATATAGATACAGATAAATTTATGTATATAATTATGAACAGATATAGATGGATAACATATACGAATACAGACAGTCACTTACACACATCTATTAAGTTACAAAAAAAAATATAGCAGTAGAGAGATAAAGAGATAGAATAAGCTACCGACACATACGTAACTATAACACATTGACATATTGAAAGACCGCACTGAGCAGTCAATAAAGTGAAAAATATATCGACAAAAGAAAGGAGGAGCAAAAACGGAACAACTGGTATATCTCTGACAGTAAACTGCTGTTTACGTCACAGGGTTGCAACAAATACAGTAGATTCATATTAACAAACATATTGATTCTGTCACGATTCAGTACAATCTTTAATTTTCCTTTTTCGATGTCTCATGTCGTTCCCACGTTTTTATTCAGCAGCTTCATGGAAATGTCTTGGAATAAGCATTCGAGGTAAAGATCGAACTTTTGAATGAAATCTGGAGTCAATCATATCTTACCGAGAAGATCTATATTGCATACTAGATGCTCACAGAATCTCGCTTCATTCTATAAATATTGGCAACCATTTTACGACAATAGGGCCAAAACAAGTCAGTATGTACGGGTATACATATTTATCAGACACTATAAGAAACCATTTACCACTACCTTGCAGGAAACACAAAAACTCGAAGCATCTAAGTTACTGAATCTCAAATTGTTAATCTTAATATTAGATTCTTATACGAGCAAGCATTTTGAAGTACAAAGCAAATTATGACGGTGTTAGTATGAAATTATAAAAAACGAATTCTGATGAACAGAATATCGAAAACTAAAGTTAGAGCAAATATTTACTACTTGTCACGCACATTCCTCATCAACTGTTCTCTAATTTCTAGCATAAGGTCACGTAACTTTTCATAAACTGTTCGCTAATTTCTTGTATGAAGTCACGTAAATATTCATAAAGTGTTCTCTAATTTCTAATGTAAAGTCGTGTAAATTTTCATAAACTCTTAACTAATTTCTAGTATAAAGTCATGTAAGTATTTATAAAGTATTCGCTAATTTCCAGAGAAAACTCAAATAAATTTTTATAAAGTGTTCCCTAATTTTTTAGTATAAAGTCACGCAAATTTTCATAAAATATTTTGCTAATTTCTGGCATATAGCCACCAAAATAATTATAAACTGTTTGTTAATTTCTAGTGTAAAGTTAGGTTCAGTTCGTAAATTGTTCGCAAATTTACAGTGTAAAGTTAAGTATATATTTAAAAATTTTGCTCATTTCTGGGGTAAAACTACGTAATATTTATAAACTGTTTTGTGATGATTTCTAGAGCAAAGTCAGGTGCATATTAGATACTAAAAACGTTTCGCAAATTTCTACTGTCAAGTTAGGTATAGATGATCTTAAACTATTTGGTGATTTTCAGTATTAAAGTTACCTATTTGTTATTATAAAATCACCTAAACAATTATAAACTGATCGGAAAATTTGACCATAAACCCCCATATTGTAAAGCCAAACACATGTTCTCATCAGTTGTTCACTAATTTACCATGTAAAATCAACCGTACATTAATAAATTGGAAGCTATTTCTGACATGCTGTGTAACTTTCACATAGCTTCCTCATTGTTATGTTTGTATCCGCGTAGATCACCACATTGAGTATAAACCATGAAGTTTTCAATATGTTTGGTGACGTGAGACTATCCTACGATAAAAGTATGTATAAATACATGAAGTACTGGGTAAAGACACAAAATGTGAGATTTTTAAGTTAACAAGAAATCATATAACTTATAAAAACGTGACATATCCTACAAATACATCTTATTGCGTATTTTTTACTGGTTTACTGATGAGGTTTGGGTTTTATCATTATGTACCTTCCTAGAGTTATAAAAAGAAAAATAGATAGAATGTCATGAATACATTTTAGATTAGTTTGTTTGTTTGGAATTACGCACAAAGCTACACAATGGGCTATCTGTGCTCTGCCCGCCACGAGTATCAAAACCCGGGTTCTAGCGTTGTAAGTCCGCAGACATACCGCTGTGCCACTGGGGGGGGGGGGCATTTTAGATTAGAAAGAGACAAACATTAAAAGTTCCCGTGACCTATAAGGTTCAGGCGTTGCTTTAATAAAATAGCTGTCTGACGAAACAATAGAAAGATGAATTCCCTGACATCGTGTGAAATACATCCGTAAACGAAAGTAAATTTTCATGTTAGTGATGAGTGAGAATTATAAGTTTTCTTTAGAACACGTTGAAAGCTAGATCATTGAATTAATAATTTTTTTTTGTTTCCTGTACGCTGCATAAAATACAAGATTCAGACATACCATACATCCGGTCCTCGGACTGAGATCGCTGGTGGCCTGAAATGATGAAAATAAAAACAACAGTTAATGTAGCCCTCACCTTAAATCACAAGTATCATTAAAACTTGGGAGAAGAGACTTAATACAAATACCAAAACAACTTGAGATCTTTAATGCATTTATTTGAGAGAGTGTATCTTCAACGATAAATGTTCAGATATATAAAAACACTTTATTTTTCTCAGCTTACTGCACTCACGCACACAGAGACACAAATATTATCATGGCGACGGAAAACGTAGATGTTATTCTATTTAACAAATACAATGACATAGAACGTTTAAGATAATGTCATTCTCTAATGTGATGTGACTTAAAAAGGGAAGAATGTAGTATGAAAAAAGTAAACTACGGAGGTTTTAAAGCAAAAATAAGAAATAAAATAATTCGTAATGCATTTAGGTCATTATAAGCACGACAAAATTAAGATGTTTCTTTTAGATAGAGCCAGAAAACATTGCACGTTTCTCCACCATTAAAAAAAAAAGTTTCTTAATTTACATAGACACAAACGAAATTATGACTTTTATGTTTATTAAAGTGCTTGTCCAATAAAGAAGGCTATAGCAATTTCAAATGAACATGTTATTGTAATTAAGCCTGAACAAGGAAAACATTTTTACACATATGTAAACCACAATAACATGTAAAGAAAGGCAGCCACATTCTAGAACCATATCATGCTGATTGTTCTTCTCTGGTTTACTTAGGTTTTAGTTACACTACTATAAAGGGAGAGATAGAGAAAAAACAACAAAAAAAAACATTATTTTCCTGGTCAATGAAGCTACAAGCTACCAGAAGAAGAAGAATATTGTGATAAAATGCAAGACTTACCTCGAAACAATGACAAAATTGGAGACAACTCAGTCAACATTAATGTCCAGTCAGTATAAGTTGGCCAGTAGAAAATCATTCAAACTAAATAAGTACTAACCAGTTAACGTAACCCGACACTTGAAACACGCGTGTCGTGAAAATACTCTGAGGTGAAGTTTAGAGCTGCATGATACAAACTCAATAAGTTTTAGGCAGGTTATGCTGATGAGCTGTGCTATTTTCACTGCAAAGCGTATCTCAGAATGGTTGTGACGACTCCAAGGATATTCTCGCGGGTAAGAAGGTTCAACAGGAGTTCTGCCAAGGGATTCTATGTGGCATCACATTGGAGTAAGACATATTTTGACCCTTACGGAAGCAATGTCGGTTGCAACAAGATTTTAAGCGGTAATTTCAAATAACTTGCAGAAGCATAAAAATCCTGCAGCCATTCGGCAGATGATCCATCACCAATACAGCTTCCAAAGGCATAAGCACCTAAAAAGGCTCGGAATAGACGAGAATTTCTCAGTTGTAGGTACTGATGCTCAGATAGGATGGTTACCATGTATTAAAACAGATATAATAGTTTCCTGTCCATATTGGACCCTACCAGAGAATGGTAACAGCCTGTGCTACGAAGGAAAGAAACGGGACAGTTGCTACAGCTGGGTGCTGAAGACTGTCGTATCATGTGTGCTTTCAGAACAGAAACCGACAGACTTTCTTTCGCATGAGTGTCTAGCAGAAACAAGAAAGCTAGAAGGTACAGTACTACATGTAGCACAATCAATATTAAACACCATATAACATGTACTATGGCAGTGCACGAGGGAATGCAGGAGCCATCAGGGCTTTGCTTCATATAAATCTAAGTTACATCTCTTGCCAGTGAGTATGGATTTCATTCTTGTCAATGGAGACTGACTAGAAAAGAATATAAATTCATATAAGGCAGAATACTTACAACCTTCAGCAGAGAGAGAATACTCACAAACTGGAAAAAGAATTTGATTTTGCCAAATGTGTATATTTTCTACATTGTTGATAGTATTATGTTTTACACTTCGTGGAAGGTTGCATGGTCAAATATGATGTATGATGTTCGAAGTCAACCACGACAGTGTTTTAATTTTGTTCACAACTGTGTTAGTATTCAAGTATATTATTCATTATAAGTGACAGTATAAATAAATATGTTACCTGCCAAGATTATTTGTGACTTACAATACAGCAAGATATATAGTACAAGGTATTATGGGGGTTTGGAGTATTCTAATATCGTAAATGCAATATTCACCTTGTGATGGTGTACAATACTGCACTGATGAAAAACAGCTAGCATCAGGAAATACGATTTTGGTGAAGGCAGTTGTTCTGTTCTTTTATGTTTGAAAGAAACAGGTGAATATTAATGAATATTTATTAGCAGTAGTATTAACCATAATGTAACAATGAGATGGAAGAATGAGTCTGTACAGGCCATTTCAGTTTTTTGTGCCATGTTTTACCGACATCTTGTTGCTGTATGTAAGGCTAAAAATATATTTGATCGTTAGAAAGAAGTATCAACTATATGTGATGTCACCAACTGTCTATCGCTCAACAGAACCGATTCAGTATATATTTGCATATTGAAGTTCACACTGGACATGAACAAAGTTGTAGCCTGCCCTCAATGAAATAAAAGATGAAAATGTCTTAGCAGAGACTCATTTATGATTCAAGTGTCTCCGAGAATTGAAAACATTAGTTTATTCACAAATGAGAATGGTTCCCCCTTTTTTAGCACTTATCAAGAGTTTTTCTAGTGTGTGAAAAGAATTACATTTTACATTACTATTTGAACGCTCTCTTAGGTTATTTAGAACACTAGTGTAATGGTGTCATTGGCTTACACCTTATGCTGATACCTGTTTTCTTGATCTATCACAAGTACAGTTGACCAATGCTGACTCTAAACTTTGCTTTGATTTTTAACGGACGGTGCATCTGAGTACTAACCATTTCACTTCTAAACTTGCATTATCGTTGTTGTGCCAGAAAATTATTGCTCAAGAGAATGAGGATATCTTAGTTTTAGACGCAAGGTTGACCTAAATTTTATTTCTCGTCGATGACGCTCCAAAGCCTCAAGCTCCCAATGTTATGGAAGTTAAAGCCGAAATGCCAGTGTCTGCGTTAAAGAAATTGCGATATGAAATGATGCCATTACGGCAGCCAGAAGGAGACAAATAGTTCTCAGCAATGTTCAAACAAATGGTGTATTATTTAGTGAAACTACAAAAAGGCGAGGCACACATATTTCAAAACAAACAAACAAAAATCAATATCGCATCGAACATCTACAAAAGTCTTTATTCAACTGAACCACTGACAAGATGATCTGCTGAACGAATAAGTCATACAGGACCAAAAATACATTAAAAAACATTATATACCTCAGTTGCGAAGCAAGAAACAGAACTTAAAATGTTTCGAGAACAGCAGTTCCCGCATGAGCTGCATTGGGTCTTCTACCACTCTCCTAAACATCATAACCATCACACTGACGAGAATTATTTTAACAAATTATCATCAGTGAAGTAGCAAGAACAGTAGCCATATCACCATCAATCTGATTGCCACCAGATTTAGATTTTTTGACACTTGTACGTTAGCAAATACATTGTCGTGCTCAAACTACCCACTGGACTCATCTATTTTGTGAAGAAAACAGATGAATATACAGAAGATAAATGCAGGACAAATGACGAACTTCATTTAACCAAAGAAGAAATGGCTTGGACCAAGAATGTTCTTCAAAGGGCTCAACACTTGATCAGGAGCATTTCAGCTAAAGAAATCGATGGAGTAACATATAAATATGTAAACATTTTCAAGTGATTTTTTGTTTTGTTTAATTTATATGTATCTTCGTGTACTTTTTCTTTAATTAGAGACATTATTATGCAGTGTGGTACATAAGAATTGAGTATTCAACTAGTTGCTTACAGAAGGTATGAATAGTGTAATTAGAGGCATTATTATGCAGTGTGGTACATAAGAATTGAGCATTCAACTAGTTGCTTACAGAATGTATGAATATTGTAATTAGAGACATTATTATGCAGTGTGGTACATAAGAATTGAGTATTCAACTAGTTGCTTACAGAAGGTATGAATAGTGTAATTAGAGGCATTATTATGCAGTGTGGTACATAAGAATTGAGCATTCAACTAGTTGCTTACAGAATGTATGAATAGTGTAATTAGAGATATTATCATGCAGTGTGGTACATAAGAATTGAGTATTCAACTAGTTGCTTACAGAAGGTATGAATAGTGTAATTAGAGGCATTATTATGCAGTGTGGTACATAAGAATTGAGCATTCAACTAGTTGCTTACAGAATGTATGAATAGTGTAATTTCATTACTATTTTATTTTAATCTCTACAAATTGTGGTTTCTAGTTATTTTTGTTAATGATATGTGTAAGTGAGGCGTGACGTTTTATTCTGTGTTGTTTTTATGCTTACTGAGATTTAAATACATAAATCATTAACTGATACTCACATTTGCTTTATGTGGTTAATTTTAAGAGCGTTATATAATGACATTAATGTTCGTATAAATTTGCTGTAAGGATTATATGTTACTCGTATTAAGTGTGATTTGGAGGTTAGTTACTCTGTGTGATATAGCTCGAACGTAACTTGTTTTTGCTGTGGTTTCCGTTTTGTACTGCACGTGACTTGAAATATACCGCTACTTATTTTTGAGTTCCCTGAAAATCCTCGGTTTCTTTTCATTTCTGTGCTTAAGAATCAAGTTCCAAAGATCAGTTTGCATTGATTTCGTTATTTTTCTTGATTCAGATGTAAAAGTTAAAATATGGTATAGTACAGCTTGACACGTTTAAGTTATATGTTATTGTACACTTATCTTGTTCTACGTATGAGTTTCTGTTCAGAATTTTGTTTCTTTTCTTTTATTGTGTGAGTTTCTTTAAAGTTCGTTTTGCTATCATTGGACTAGTTTATTTTGTTACTGAATTTTTTCACTTTGCTCTTATGTATGTAACTGTCAGATAAGTTGTGTTTTGTATAGGTAAGTTCGTAATCTGCTTCACTGTTTTGCATTATATTACTTCTAGTAGATGCCCTTTAAAACAATTCAACGGTAATTTTTCTAAAG